GAAAATTGTGTAGAATGTGGGAACTCTAATAGAAATTATAAACCTTCTATACACAAGCAACAAAATAAGTTAAAAATGGATCTGGAAAGGTATGAGATTTAGGCTAATGTTCTCATTGGTCCTATTTTCTGGACTTTCCATCACTACTCCCTGCATCCTCCTTTAATTGATGATCTCAGAGCAAAGGGCAGGATGTCAACAACACATCTCAACAGGCCCTTACAACGAAACTCATTCAGTGATGACAGTTTGGATGGCTGGGGCTCTCTCATGCCGAATGTAGTGGGAGGAAACCTTGCAGTTTTTACCTCCTTGTCTTTTAACTGTCTTTCTGGCTCTTTCTGCTTATTTCTATTTTCTGGTCATGCTGCACAAAGACAGCGCTGGCTAAAAGCCAAATTTATCTCTTGCTGAAATAAGTAGAACCAGAGCATATGTTACCAAATAATAAGCTGTGAATATCGGCACCTTGGTTTGATTGGCATCTCAGAACATCCCATCTTAATTTCTCATCACCTTCCTCAGTATGACACCTGCATTCCTTTCTGGAACCCTTAGCATCTCAGCAGCACTGCTAAGAGCAGAGCTAAGTGGCAGATACATCAAGGGGCTAACAATTGGTGCCCTTAGGAGCAGCAGAAAGATGACCCTGACAAAGCAGGATACCAATAATGATGAAGAGGAGGAATTCAATGCAATAAAAATAACCCAGGATTTCTTTACTAGATACTTAGAAATTCCTGTTTCAAGCACATGGTCAGCTCCCAATCATCACAGTGGGTAGATTATCCACACTGTGGGCTCTGCCTGGGCAACTGTTTACTCTGACTAGATTTTCTATCCTGTCTCTAAATTTCTAGGGACATTCATCAGCTGATGGTATCTGAGTATTTCCTTTCCACTTCTTTCATGTACAAGTAGCTGCAAGCAGATAGCAGGCCAGAAGAACAAAAAAGCTAGATAAGTACAGGATGGATGACAGTCTGAAAAGATAATACCAGAACTCAACAAGATCCCTAGGTGGGAAGTGCCTCATAGCAGGCACTCAATCAATATTTGTAGAACTGAGCGAATGGAGTTGTTAGCAAGTTGACTTAGAAGACTTTCAAGGCCTCTTCCAATCCTGATATTCTGTGATTCCTCTGAACAAGATGACAGAAAGCTTGGAGAAGACCCAGGAGATGGATACTCAAACTCATCAGGAGCAAGGAAGGGAAGTTGGAAAGGACTCATCTCAGGCTGAGATGGATCCCAAAAGAGTAGCTAGGACTGTTCCAAACTGTCACACCCCAGGATGATTCTTGGTCCCAGGTGATGTCCCCAAATCCCCACCTAGAGTCCAAGTGGACTGGAAAGCAGTTCTCTTAGGATTTAAGATGTAGACAAGATATGAAGTGAAATTCTAGGCCTTAACTTATTTAGGGATCCTGAGAAAGGGAGTGTATGTCTGTGGGAGTGGTAAGACACTGTTTTGAGGTCCTAGATTTTATGACGTACATTTTTTCCAATATCATAGAAATACAGAATTCAGGGCAGTAGAGACTCTTAGAAATGATCTAATCCAGCCTCCAGCCTAGTGAAGGAATTCTTCCTACAGCATCCCTAATAGAAGGTCATCCAGTCTCCAGCAACAGGAAGCTCACTTTCTCTAGAGGCAGCAGTATTAATGCTGGACAGCTCCCATGTGGGCAGGTTCTGTCTTCACTTCCGAGTCCTGATCTCTGGAACGTCTACTCATTGATGCAACAGAAGCCAGGCCTATTTCTCCTCCTTGGGGCAGCTCTCCCAACATCTGAAGTCAGGAATTACTTTTCTCCCGTTCTTTCCCCTGCCAGCAAACATCCTTCGTCCCTTCATGCAGAGGCACAATTTGTGGATCCCTCAGTATGCTACTCCCCTGACAATAATCTAACTGGTCAACGTAGTTCTTAAAATGGGGCTGGCAGAGTTCAATGTTGCAGAGTTGAATGCAGTGGTCTCCAGATGTGGCCTGGCCTTCATAGAGCACAGTGGTACTATTTCTTCCCATTCATTTCTAAATTATCACAACCACCTGTTTAATCATCTATTCTAGAATGGTACCAAAAATGGCCATCAAGCCAACTGGTTCCTTAGATTCCGGGATACCCTTTCATCACTTACTGGTCCTTCTTTGCTTGTCTTTTGCTGGCTGGTTCATCTCCTACACCACCAGCACAGTCATATATTGCACTGCCCTTTAGGGTCACTGGTTTGGCACTGGGTAGGGAAATACCTGAACTGAGTAGGTTTTCCCAAACTCTCTCAAAATGTCTATTCCTGCTCACCATGAATCCTCAATCTACCTGGTGTACAGAGGCTCTAAATATAAGTTAAATAAATAAAGAATGAATAAATGCATGTCACATGTCACCTACAGACCATCACTCCAGGCTGCAGAGCAGACTCCACCTCCCACAGGAGCCTGTCTTTTCAGCATCCTGGGCCATGACCCAGAATAAACCATTTCTTCTCATCAGTATCATCGACCTAACCTAGCAATTCATTTTCACAGTTTCTGGTTAAGCAGAAGAGTGGCAAAATACTCTCTGACCTGCTGAGTCCTTCAGTTTCCCCCCTAGACTTCGTTGTCTTTAGAACAACTCTGTTCTAGGTTTTGTTTCCAACAGTCGTCATGTGTGAACTTGTGGCTGACAGAAGCAGGAAGTGATGGGTGGGCATGACTAGTTGGTAAACTCTGCAGCCAGCCAGGTACTCATACTCCTGGTGAACACAGGCCCCTCGGGAAGGAGACAACAGGCATCCCAGAACAATTCTCCCCACTGAAGGTGGCAACGGGATTCTTGCCTCCCACCTGCCAGAACCTGTGAAGTAACTTCTCTGCTCTCAGAAGCAGAGGATGCAACGCTGTGACCACCCTCTGAGAAGCAGAGAGCCTGCATCTAGTATATTCCTTCAATGATAATGAATTGTTTCTCCTTTTTCACGACCTTCCTCTCAGCCCCACTTGGGTTTCATTCCCCTTCACCCAGCAGAAATCCTTTCCTTTTTAATTGCTTCCGATCTGTTTTGTCCCATCTTTGCTTAACAAGTCAGAATGAAGAAAAGTGTTCTTCCAATTCTTTAACTTTCTATTCTAAAGAAAAAATTAGCACGCATTAGCTGCAGGGATGTGACAAATATACCGGAAAGAAAAACGTACCCTTCATATCTCCTGGGATCCCAATTTCTTCTGGCTCTAAAAGAACTGAGAGTCCATCACAGGTCCCCATGAAAACTTTTCTTGTAAATTGCTTTAGAAAATGCCTGATTTTATGCCTGTTAGTAGTGTACTTAGGAAAGATGCTTTTAAAACTGCTTAGCCCCTAGATGGCTAAATTGCTAAATTACCTAGATCAATCATGGGTTATTTAGTCCATCTCCTTGCCTCTGAGATGGATGGAAACATTTCTTCTGTATAAAGACTTCTAGAAAAAAATCTTCTATTCTATTCTTTAGTCCAAAGTCTCACATACAAAGTTTAGAAGTTCTTCTTTGAATATAACCTGAATCCCTTTTGTTGGAGCTTAAGACCTTTTATCATTTTTCTGGTCCCCAGTGGGTATTATAAAGAAAAAATAGTAGACACTATATGATGTCTATTTGTTCACAGACTTCTGCTTGGAGCTCTTCACAGCTCCCTGCTCTATTCAACATCCTTCTAAGCATTTGATGACTGTTCTGAAATCGCCTTTCCCACCTGCCCATCACCATCCACCAATCTCTTTACATTTGTCTCCCCTGTAGCTCTTTCAAATGTAGTGCTTTCCTCACTTGACACGTGCTTCAAGATCTTAATCAGCACATTTAAGAATTACCCAAGGTCTCCCAGCAAAGGCAGAGCTGAATATACAGCTCCTCTCTGTAATTTACCAATTCTCCTATAAATGCACACAGACAAGATGAAGGCACCACTTCTTATTCACCACAACAAACACTTGACAGCTCCAGCCCCGCTAAGAGACAAAGAACAGAGTCTCCACCGGCCAAGAGCAAGGATGGGTAGAGCAGGAGTCAGGAGGGCTGAGTTCTGGGCCGAGCTCTGCCACTGACACCCCATAAGCAACTCCCATCCCACATCGACTCTGTTTCCTAAGCAGAACACAACCCGTATTTGCCTACATTATTTCTCAGGGCACTTTCGGCTTTCACGTTCCACTATTCTCTGACTAGGCAAAGGCCTCTCCTCTCCCTCCTTATAAGATATAGACCACGTGCTTGGCATGTCTCCCTCCACCAACCTCTGGGGCCACTACCACCCAGAAACACTCAGAAACCAGTGTTTCTCAACCTTTTTTCTATTATCATCATCCTCTGCCCCAAAAGAGACTTTTTATACTTTTTTCCTTAATCACTTACCCAATGAAAATTTAATACTATGAATATACTGTATATCTGTTTATTTTCTACATTTATAGCTGCGCTTAATACATAAAAGAGTAAGTTTTTTCGCTACCCCCAAGAACCAAGTTTCATCCCCCTTGGGGGGGATATACCATTGAAATTTACCATTGAAATATTACCAGTGAAAATGCATGACCTAGATTTACCTGAGGGCTGCTTCTTCCTGAATGACACAAGTGGAGTTATTTGCCCCAAACTCTTCCCAAGCCAGAGATTTTAAGAATAATCCATTGCACAAGCCAGAGTGGAATCAGCCTGAGTTCCCTTTTCCATAAGGTAAATAGCAGCTTCCCATCCCTCCTCCCCAGGCCACACCGTCTCCTGTTCCAGGCCCTGTCCCGGTCCTATTAGCCTGGGACCTTCACCTCTGCCCTCAGTTCCCACTTCCAGCTCCCACTCCATTCACATGAATCCCAGTGGTAACAATGGGAATGATGGGAACGAGGAGGTGAAGAATGGGTGATGATGTTCCAGGAATAATTAGAATCCACTCTGGCAGGGATGGAGGTTCACTCTAACTCACATACATCAGCCCAGCTCTCCCTCCCTCCCCTGCAGGACCATCCCCTTCCCCTTACCTTGGCACGCTGGCCAAATAGGTCACGAGTTTCCGCAGGTCTTCCTGTCTTATTCTGTCATGATTGCTGCGAGCAGGGAAGGTCAGGATGGGTCCTCCTCGCTTATCACGGCCCCCTGCAGAGAGGAAGGGGAGGGAGTTTAAGAAAACCAGCCAGAAAGTGTGCTGCAGATAAAAAAGAACTCCATCTGAGCCCTGGATGAAACAGGCAGAAATATGTTGCCCAGAAAAATCCAGTCACTGCTTAGGACAAAGACACGAGGCCTGGATGCCAGTAACATGTGTGACCTTGGGCAAGTCTTTTGACTTCTCTGATGCCTCATCTGCAAAATGCAGATGAAAATAATGATGACCACATTACAGGGTTGCTACAAGGACAGAAGAGATGGTACACGGGGAAGTACTTTGAAAAGTAAAGCTCTCTACTAATGTGAGATGATGATGAAAGTAGTGTAACTGTTCTTATCGAGAAAACAAGCCATTGAAAGTGCTACGATCTTTGGAAATTTAACCTCCAATTCACTTCTCTTTGCAGATCTCTGTGTGGTGGGAGCGCTCGGCATTAACCGACTGCCGTGGTGAGAAGCCCTTAGAGCATCCATCCAGGAAATCACTGCTGGGAGGTTTTCAGATTCATAGAAAAGACATTAAGCATTTTCTACGCAGCCAAGGAGCCACCCCTGCCTGCCCGCCTGAGGTGCCACCTGTCACTCCTGCTGGAGGAGCACATGAATCTTTATCAGAAATAAGATGCTCAAGGTCTTAATCAGTGCAAATGCATATATACACACTATGATTACAAATGTTTTCTAAATATCACATTAAAAAAAAGCCGGAAGGAGTATACTGAAATGATGATCGTTGTTGTTATTGGAAGGCTTGGATTTTACATGGTTGCTTTTTCTTTCCTCTATTTTCCAAACTTTCTATTCACTGTTTATTCTGTGATTTAAGAATTTATTCATTAATGGGTGCTATGATTAGAAAGCAGGACCAAGTTTCTCAGGAGATTTAGATGGAGGTGAAGCTATGGTGTGGTAACCACGTCCTTACAGGCACTGGCTATTACACAAAGAAAACCTCTGCGTCATGATCACAGACTCCCATCCCGCAGGCATCTCAGGCAGCCACCCGACATCCCCAAGAGCAGGGACCACAAGGGGATCTAACGCAAGAGGGAGGAGGGGTTGGCACGGCCATCCCCCATTCTGGAAAAGAAGCTTAAAGCTCAGCCCTCAGAAGAAGGATCTCTTCCAAGGAAAGGCAGAGCCCCCAGGGCCCCCACCCCAGAGTGACTTCATGAATAATGCTTCCTCTGATTGTGGGGTCCTGAAGCCACACAGATAGGGGGGAGTCTCAACTAACAAAATCCAATCCATTCCAGGATATTCCTGGTGTGGAAATAAGGAGATTGCAAGAAGAAAAAGATCAAACAAAATCAGGGCCACTGAGAGATCTGGCCCTGACCAAAAAAATGTTTCAGCACCACCACTCCTCTTCCACAGCCCCACACCAGGGCAGATGTGTATAGATATACCACGGAGTTGGGCCCCGGCCCCTGGCTCCAGACCTTCCATAGCACATGCTTTGGTTTCTTGTACGGATAACCACTCCCATCTCATCTGCCTTGGAAATGGTCCCCATCTCGCAACTACCTTCCACATGAGGAAAAAGAAGCAGAAAGATTAAATGGAAGGTACCCCAAGAGCTGGGAGGTTCCCCCACACTCTCAACCTTCCCCTCCAACCTTGACCACATCCGAAGGATTTTCACTCTTGGATGGTTTTAACTGCCTTTAAGAAAGGCAGCTGTTGCCTTTCTTCCCGACCTTCCATGGACACTTTAAGAGTAGAGCCATGGGAACATGGGGGCCAAGGCTGGTCTGATTGGCAAAGGCTAACTAAGGAGTCTGGAAGGATGTTGGCACTATCCCTTCTGAGCTAGAGCCAATGCTACCCTTGGAGATAGGAGTTTCATAATCATGGCCAGGGAAGGTTCCAGATGGCAGGGTAGGGGGAGTGAGGAGAGAAGGCCTGGGGAAATGCAATCCCTCCCCCTCAGGAATATAGATAAGGAGTCAAGAGGGGACAGCAGGATCAAGCCAGCTATTTTTCAGAAAGAAGAAGACCTTGCAAGATTATAGGAAGAAGAGGAGGAATAAGCATAGAGGAAGAGAATCATTATGCTGGAAAGAGTGGGGACAGGGGATGGAGCAAGGCCTCCCCGCAGGTACAAGGAGAGGGGTCCTGCCCCCTTCTCTGAAGCAGGTGGACAGAACTCAAAGAGGGAGGAGGAAACAGATACATTATGGAGAGGGAAGAGTTCAGCCTGCCTGGGGGACATTGTTCTTCAGGTGAAATAGGAGATGAGATCACGTGCCAGAGGTCAGGGCAGGCTCGAGGTTCTGGAAGAGAGGAGAAGTGGAGCATCACTGGCCAGCATCCCTAGAGAATGAACAGCACGACTGTGTATGATGCGGCTTAAGGGAAGGTGGGGAAGGTGGCAGGGTACTGGGGTATAGTGAGAGCTCTACTGAAAGGTCTGGCCGTGGTGTCCATGCTAGGCTCTAACTTGAGTGAAGGCAGAGTACAACTAATGCTGGGGTGAGTGAGGAGGGCCCAGTGAGGGCAGGAAATGTCCCACTGGATTATGAGCTCCCAGAGAAGAGGGAACAACATATGTTTTGTTTATCTGACATCCATCCCTCCCAGAGGGGAACATCAGAAAGGGTCAAAGGTAAGAGCCTAAGGCCACAGACAGACATATCAAGGGTCAATGTCTTGGATGTGCATGGCCAAGGTATGAAGGTGGAAGACTTTGGTGCCAAGGAGGCTAAGCAGCCATGAAGCTGTAGGATTTGATCAATAATTGACACAGCTGCTGAAATTACAGAGGGTGATAAGAAGACATGAAGAATGAGAACCCACATGCTAAAGTCAATGTGCATGATGGATGTGGATCCCAGAGGGTGGGAGACAAAAGTAGCCAGGTTTTGAAAAGGTGATAGAGATGGTGGCAGGATCTTCAAAAATGCCATTGCCTTGCTCATCAAATACCTGCTGTTTGCCTACTAGTGCAAGGTTTCAGTGCTAGGAGCTATAGGATAGGAATGTAGAGAATAAAGAGGGAGGGGATGGTTTGATGTTCTAGAAATGGCGATAATCCCCTTCCCTAGAGGCAGGGCAGGACAGGGCTGGTGAGGAGGCAAAGCAGAAAGGAGGGGAAGTTAAGGCTTCCCTGATTGAGCTGGGAGGAGGAATGGTGCTCACAGTTTTCAGGGGGAGTCAGGCTCCCCTTAGGGCAGTTTGGGGAGGTGGGGGGGCCAAGAAAAATACATCAAGGGGGAATCATACCAAAAGTCTGGCATGTGAAACAATACTTCTGCAAGATGTTAATGGATACACTGATTTTTTTTTTAAGGAAATTAGGTTATTCTGTAGTTTGGGAGCTGTTTTCATGTGCTTGATGGACATACACTTTGATGAACATGGCAGATATCCAAGGGGAAGCTCTAATATGCAGCATTTCCCAAACTTATTTTTGAGAGGAGAACCCCTTTTCCTTTTTTGAGGATCTTCTTGTGGGACTATTGCTCTATAGAACACACTTTGAGAGACACAGGTCCAGGATACAGAAGATCATGCCGCAGCGGCATGGAGCTTCCCTGGGAACAATGGAGAACGATGTTGGTGGAGACAAGGGGGCAGAAAGGGACACAAGGAGGGGGCCAAAAGGAGGGTGTGAGTGCACATGAAGATAACAGGGCCGGAATGGGCCCTGCACAAGAAGGTTGGATAAAGGGACAGGGGGTGCTGTGAGGGGGAGGTACATGCACACAAAGGAAGCCACAGAGAGGGCAAAGGGGGACCCCACAGGTTGTGAAGACGGAGCAAGAAGGGGCAGGGCTGGCACAGACACAGATCCTATCACACACACGTGCACACGCCCACACGCAGAAGCTGCTGGGCTGTGCCGGATGATTCCAAATGTGTGTTCCCATGGCAGCATGGCTTTCCTTTACTCCAGCCACGCTGGGGGCACTCTGGGGAAGGCGGGTACAACAACAGTTTGTTTCTCTGCCCACCACCTTCCCTGCAGGGCTTTCTTTTCAGAAAGCAAAGCAATGGCTACACTGCATTATTTAATTCTGGATTTCTTTATTTTGTCTTATTCTTGTGTTTTGTCTTTTAAAAGCTTTTTTGGTCTGTTTTCTGTTTTTGTTTTTTCTTCCATGCAGCCAGCCATCTCCCTGGCACCATCAGCGTCCTTCCCAGGCACAGAAGGACAATGTTCCCCAAGCCCGAGAGCTCCTGCAGCACTGAGATGAATAAGACTTACCCCAGGTGGTTCAGCCCACATCCGCACGTGGGAGTGAGCTGCACACCCGCAGCCCCTTGGTCCCACTCTGGGAAGCTTCTACCTCCGCACATGGATGACCAATTGCCTTCGTGGCACGTTGCTTCTATGTGCTCTCTTAGGACAACTCTCTACCCTGGGGAAGGTCTTTTCTAGGGCTGACTGGGCCCTGCCTCAAGGCTCCAACTGAATTCACATGGGAAAAAATAAACCAGAAACAATCAAACAAGGGTCCCCATGTCAGAGTGTACTGTATCTGCACTCATATACCCCGAACTGATGCAGAAAAGGATGTCTCAGAGGCTATGCATTAAAACCAGGGAGGCCTTCTGGAGGAAGCAAAGTAGGAACTGACTTGGGAAGGAAAATAGAGGCTCAAACAGGCAGAAGGTGTAGGCAAGGCACTGCAGGTAGAGGAAGCTAAGGCACGAGAGAAATGGGAGCATGAGCAGGATACCTAGGGGACAGAAAGGACATCAGGTTAAACAAGGCTCAGGGCCATAAAAAGGGAGGAGGAAAAGCTCTGATTGGCCTCTACTCGGGAGAAGAGAGTGAACAGAGAGGGCTGTGGGCCAGGTCCTGGGGGCCAGGCTGTGGGCAGCAGCAGAAGTCAGAGGCCTGGTGCTGCCCAGGGGCTCCCAGGACTTCTACACGAGGTCTCCCCACATGCTCAGCAGGCACTCAGATCCGAGTTCACGCCTCTCCCCACACTGAAATCACTGCCACAGGGTCCTGCCAAGGGGCTGTTGTGCTTCAGTGACGGGCTCCCTGTATCATAAGATATACGAGCACCTGACACTGGTTGGGAAAGGCAGCCTCCTGGTCACTCTCCTCTAACAGCAACAACAACAACAAAACACTAGTATTACTACTACTATTAATAATAATAATAATAATACGGAATTCACTTAGTACCTTACAAGGTTTACACACTCCCATCGCATACTCTGCCCTCACCTCCCATCCCTACTCTCTGAACCATCGGTCTCTCGTCTTCCCTCTGGTCAGGTGGGAGACACCTGCTGCTTGGTTTCTCCTTCCTCATACCCCCTCCTCCCTCTCCCTGCTCCCCATTTTGGCTGTTGCCTGCGGGCCAGGCCAGTGGTGCCCGTGGAGTGAACCCTGCACTGTGGGACTGTACTGGCTTTTTCCTTGTGATTCCACCGCTACTCCTTGTAGACAACCAGAATCACCTAGAAACAAAGGTTCGGTCCACGAGGCATAAGCACTTGGACATGTTTCTTTGCGTGTGATCCTTGGCTACTCACACTGCCAAGAGACTCTGATCCAGGAGGCCTACAGTGGAGCCCCAGAACCAGCAGCGAGAGTGATGCTGGTGCACCTATAGCTTGGCTTCAATTACATCAGGGGTCACCAAACTTTTTCTTACAGAGCCAGATAGGAAATATTTTAGGCTTGTGGCCATCCGGTCTCTGCTGGAACTACTCAACTCTGCTGTTGTAGTGAAAAAGCAGCCATTGACCCTACCTGTAGTAGGCTGAGTCATGGCCCCCAAACATATCCTAATCCCTGAAACCTGTAAATATTACCTTATTTGGAAAAAGAGTCTTTGCAGATGTGATTAAGTTAGGGATCTTGAGATAGGAAGATTATTCTGGATTATATGAGTGGGCTCGAAATGCAGTCACAGGTATCCTTATAAGAAGGAGGCAGAGGAAGATTTGACATAGACAGAAGAACAGAAGACAATGTTACCACAGAGGCAGAGATAGGAGTGATGAGGCCACAAGCCAAGGTATGATGGCAGCCATCAGCAGCTGGAAGAGGCAAAGAACAAATTCTCCCCTAGAGCCACTGGAGGTAGCACAGCCCTGCTGATACCTTGATTTCAGCCAAGTAACTGATTTTGGACTTCTGGCCTCTAGAACTGTGAGAGAATAAATTTCTGTTGTTGTAAGCCACCAAGTTTGTGGTAACTTGCTGCAATAGCAATGAGAAACTCAAATACCACCTAACAAATGCCCAGGCCTGTGTTCCAATAAAAATTTGTTTCCAAAACAAGTGGTTGGCCCCTGAATCAGACATTAAAAGGCCCAGGTGCACAAGATAGGTTGGAAAGAAAAGTCAGAAATAAATATTTGGAAGTCATTATTCAGAAAAATAAATAAATAGATACTCACTTGAGTTCCCTTTGCCAGGAAGGAGAGATAAGGAGGAGCCAGAAAAATTTTTAACCTTCTGCCCATGACACACTCGGAGATGAACCCAAATAAAACCTCTAGGAATGTGTGAAACAGATAGACTCCTCCAACTGGAGCATCTCCCATAGGGACCTCAGTGGCTCCCACCGAGCCTGGCAGGCCTGGGAGTGGGGTGGGGTGAAGTGTATGTGTGTTTGAGGTGTGAGGTGTGGAGGGGACACCCACCTGTGGTTATGAACGTCCTCCAGAACACCCAGCTGGGACTAGAGAGCTCTCCCTTCTCTTTCTGCCTGCCTCTGGAGAAAGGAAGCAGCTGCCCTAAGTATCACTTCCACCCCCACTTCTCTCTCACTCACACACAAAGTGAGTGCCTGCACGCGTGTGCACACACACTTCTCTAGGTCCATTACAGAGGCAAGTTCCACAGATACTCACCAGACACGAAGGCCACTTTTTCCTTTAGGATGGGAAGGACATCAGAAGCTTTCAAACCATCATTCCGAAAAGACCCTGTGGGACAACAAAACAGATGCAATCAGGGTGAGAGAGGCCAGATGGCTGAATCCCTGGATCCCACCCTCAGCCTCCCCACCCCATCATGGGCCAGAAAGTTCTGCCTGTTCAGGCCCTACATCCCAGCCCGATGGAACAGGAGAGGGTCTACAACAGAAAAGACACGTCTACAGATTCCAGGCCACACAGATCAAGGGTGTGTTCCTTCTGGTCCCTCCCAAGGAGAGGACAGTCCAAGTCACCCCCCACCACATTTACAAAGCTCCATGCCCTGGAGGCAACAACTACAGCCCTGCTGCCGTGAGCAACTTGAAGACGGGAGCTTTTGAAAAAACCATTTTTGTACCTCTAGTGCATAGCACAGTGTCTGGTACACAGTAAGCACTCAGTAAATATTTGTTGAATAGGTTAATCAATATCAAGATGGACCACAATGCCTTAAATAATTCTTTTTGCCTTTCCTCCATGTGGCACAGCAGCTCTTGGTCTTCCTTTTACAAATGGGAACAGGAAACCACAAAAATCCCCAAGTGGTAAGCAGAGGTGAATGCAATACCCTTCTCCACCCTTCTTCCTCCTCCCCCTGAATGTCACCATCACCATCCACCACAGACAGGAGGTAGGAAGACACCAGGCTCCTGGGAAGGAAACACACTCCCTTCTTCAGCAGCTCATTCTCTACCTAAATCTCACTTCTCAGTTGGAAAGTTCATTCTGGGGTCTAGTTGAGCTCCTGTAAGGGAGTTGGAGGCAGAGGCCTGGAGCTCACAGAGAATGGAAAATAGCAATGTGCCTGGAGTAACAATTGCCTCAAAGGACAACCCAGCCCGGTGTGAGATGCGTGGGAAAGGAGGACCCAGCTTCCACACACACACAAAAGCCCAGGCCAGCCCACTGTGCCCCTATCATTTAACCCAAATACCTGACAAGGACTCTCAGGGAGAGCCAGCCCACACTCAGAGCCCTGAGAGCTATAACTGGAATCTGCTGTGTGTTACCACTAGGGACATGGCAGAGATGGACCCCAGAAGAGATGAGGTTCTGTGTCAGCTCAGTGAGACAGGACCAGAGACCACACACACCCCCTCTATTGCTTTTCTCCACTTGGCTTACTCCCTTGTGGTCCCAACCTGACAATCTGCAGAGAGGAGAAACGTGCTGGGCAGGACCGTCCCACTCAGGGCTGTGTCAATCCCAAAACATTGACTGTCTCAAGAGACCTACTTGGGAATTTTGGCAACAACCCAGGGTTAAGACCACCGGCCTGGGGAAGGGAAATGAGCCAGTTGCACACTCAACCAAAGAGGAGAAGAGATGTGTCCCCAGAACGTCAGTTTCCATGGTCAGAGGTCATATCCTAACCCCACACAAATTTCCAAAGTGTCTCTGACCATTTCACCTACTTCTTCTTTTTTATTTTTCAGCAAATGAAGATGATGAGGCTTTTTATTCATCCGTTGCTTCTCTTTACAAGCTGGCCCATAGTACTGATGCTGGGGTAACCAGCTGCAAGGCTCACTTTGAGAAGACCGTGGGCAACAGATGAAAAAAATAATACCATAAAAAAGAAAGGTCTAACCATCAGCCTTGTTTTGTACTTTCTATCCTTAGTTTCTACAGATCTTTATGCTCTGACCTTATCTTCCAACACAGAAAAACTATGAAATCTCACCAGCAGAAACTAATCAGGATCAATATAAATTACTACAGAATTTACAAATAGATACATAGAGTTTTTTTCACCTTCATGCAGTAAAGAGACATTTCAGCTTCCTTGGCAAGGAAGAGTCCTATCAGGCTTTACCAACTAGACAAGGATAATCTTTAACACATAAATCGTTTGTTTAGAATGATGCTTCTGCATCAAAATAGCTTATTTTCATATGTGAAATATGTCTTTCCACACATCAGTTCAAAAACAATTTCCTGTATATCACTGAGCACGCTATTAATTTCTACAGAAAAAAATTTTAATACGAAAAGTTAAACTTCATATTATTTACAAGTTCAAAAATAGCAAGGCCCAAACTAATGAGATTTTACTGTATAACAAGAATCCACGTAACCTTCTTCTCTCCCAAACTCCTGTCCTATTTTTTCCACTGCTCTTCTCTCCTCCCCTACTGAGTTAACGTACACAAGATGGCTCTAATTCCACACAGTCCCCAGACATTAAGGAAGAGTTTGGAATCTGCTATAATGAAAGCAAAAGGTTCCCCATCCTACCCCGTCTTCAGTCTCACCCAGGGAGAGAGAGAGGGAGCTCTGAATCTCATCCTTCACACCCCACTCACCATGCCCCACCTCTTCCTTCTCCCCTCCAGACTCCAGGACCCAACAGAAGGGGAGCAGCTTGTTCATGCAGCTTGCAATCATTGGCTCAAGTCAATGTCAATATCTTGGCTCAGTCTAGTCCAAGATTCCTAGGGCTTTCTCCTCCCCAGCCAAAGTCTTCCCTCATCCACTTCAGACCACAGCTGAGCTATCTCCCAGGTTGTGTGCCCACCATAAGAAAACCTAAAGTGTCCAGATTTACAAAATCCTTAACGAGGGGATAATCATTTCCAACAACAACAAGATTTTCACATTATAAAAGGATTTGCTCCAGGGTCTCTTCAAATAAAAATTGCCTTTAGTGGTTTGAATTAGTTTTTCATTTGCCAAAAATTGAATTACAGATAACTTTTAGACAATATATGTATTACATAAAGCCAAGCAGAGCTAAACTAATTAGTCCAGCAGCTCTGAAGTTGGCGACCTTGCACAGAAAACCTATTTGTACTGGCTGAAGATCCTATGTATCAATTCCCCCAGGGTCCTTGCGAAACCAGCTGTCAGGATCCATAATAAAGGGTAAGTTCATTGAACACTAACTCAAACAGGACCAATGAAATAGCAACATGTTTTCACTATCAGGATCATGTCTGGGCAGACTCACAGTAAATGTTCAATAAATATTTGATGAAAGAATAAATAAATGAATGAAGTGTTAACCCTTCCTAAAGTAACTTGCACAAGGTCACTGGCCTCATCTATCACACCAAGAGCTGGCGTTCGGAGTAGGTGATCTCCAGAGCACCAGGCACCTCTAATATTCTGAGACTTTTAAAATCTTTTCTTCATGTTTATTGGCCTTTAAGATCCTCAGATTATCAGATCAATATGCTTTGAAAGGAAATATTGGGAAGAAATTCCCTAACAAGATTCAGTGCACTTTGGAAAGATAAAACGACTCTTCCCTGGTCTCTCATTCTCTCCAGGAGTCAGCTTAGGGATTGGGATGCTCAGGGCACGTCACCCCATTTTGCAGATAACCCAAGTTACCCAAATGAAAGACTAGTGATGGAAGACCTTCTGTGAGGCATACACACCTTGAAAGAGGCAGGCTTCAACTGCAGTTGCTATCTCTATGATACAAGGTATATTTGATAGTACTAGTAGACTATAAACTATAGATCAATCGTAGACCGGCTTCCCCGCTTAAAAGAAAAGCCTGTTGAAATAGTAGGTTCCTCGCTACCTCTAAAGAAAGCCTGAGAAGAAATAAAAGCCCCTGTGCCCTTGGAGTTACTGCAGGAAAAAGGAGAACCAGAGGGTACCCTCATGGACCTGACCCAACGAGAGTAGTGTGCTTTCTCTTAAGGACAAAGGCATGTTCAGCGCTAATGCCATCCCATTCGTGTCCTGCTGCTGTCAGAATTACAAGCCTGCTGTTCCATTAATTAGCAAAGTTGAAATGCTCTGCATCTATTAGGGAAGTAAAAATTACCACCGCCATCTCCCCAGGATCTCCAGCATGGGTCTTCTCCAAGCCCCGCTTCTGCCTCCTCCTCACTCCAAGTGTGTTATGCTTACATTGCTGCTGTCCGTTCCTCTTCACATTTTCCTAGTCACCAAGTCTCATGCTGGAAAATGCCAATCATCCTCACTCTGGCTCCCAGCCTCTTTGTGGCCCCACGTGGCCACGGTAGGACTGCCCTGTGTCACAGGCCCTGTCCTTGGCTTGGTGGCTCCCCCAGGGCAGCTGGGTGCCTTGTGCAAGGAGGATACTAAGGATAACCATACCAAGTATGGATACTAACCTCCTTCAGAAAGCAATCCTGATTTCAACAAGTGGAGAAATAAACAACTAAATGTTGAGCATTTGGAGGTGCAAGCTGTGAGGGTACCCATGGATTGCTCTTTATTTCCTTTTGGTTCTCAGTCACAACCCCTTGATTTGCACTTATTTAGAAGTAACTGTGTACATATTCTAATGGTGCTTCAAGTGGGCCTGCACCCTGTTTCACCATTGAGATGGCAAATTTGCCAACACTAAGGTCTCTGCCTCCTCTTTCCTCTCCATCCTTGTAGTTTCCAGCATGAGAGCCTCAATCAAAGTGGCACTGAGTCACGGACTGATCTGCTGCACAAAAGAGATTTGGCTTTCAAGTGTGAGTCCCAAGATCTCATTAGGAAGAACTTTGGTTTGGGCATAATTTGGACAGTTGCCTATTCCCAGAGACATTCATCCATCCATTCTTTATCAAGCTCCTATTATGAGCTAGGCCGCATGTTAGGCTTTGGTGATACTTAAATAAGAAACGGTCCCTGCTCTGCAGGGGGCTTCCAGGTAGAGATAGACAGGTGTGCAGATAGAACAATGAGTTATCACCAGAGACAGGACATCACCTGTACAGAATGCAAGGGCGCTCAAAGGAATGGCTTCCTAAATGTGAGTCTTAAAGCCTTGCTACTCAAAGTAACAAGCATCACCTACCAGCTAGAACCTTGCTAGAAATGCAGAATCTTAGGCCCCCATCCCAGACCTACAGAATCAGAACCTGCATTTAATAGGAAACCCAGGTGATTCATATGCACATTACATTTGAGGAAGTCCTATACACTAAAGTATGTCTTTCTATTCCAGAGGTGCCTCAGAGGCAGAGACAGATAAAAGCATCCTCTAGCCTAGTGTAAACACAGCCTCTAAAATCTGAGCTGGTGCTGCTCATCAC